TATGAACCGAGAAGTGATGGTTTGATTCCCGGTCAGGGCACATGCCTGGGTTTCGAGCTCAGTAGGGGGCATGCAGGCGGCAGTAGATCAATGATTCTCTCTCATCATTAATGTTTCTATCTCTCTCCTCCTCTCCCTTCCTCTCTGAAATCAGTATATTTTTTAAAAAATTTTAAAAAGGAAGTTCAAAACTATAGGACATTTTTATAAGAGTGTATTACAGTTTATTATTGAACCAAACTGAAGATATTCCCAGAAGCAATATCTCAAATCACTGATGTTTCTCTCTCTCTCCCCCTCTACCTTCTTCTCTGAAATCAATATATTTTTTAAAAAAAAATTTTTTAAAAGAAAGTTCAAAACTACAGGAAATGTTTATGAGTTTATTATTGAACCAAACTGAGGATATTCCCAGAAGCAATATCTCAGCAGATTGAAAAAATGCTCTGGAGAATAGCCGTTTTGCATTAGGAATGTGAAGGAAGGTACAGGAAATCCTCTACAGATTGAAAAAATGCTCTGGAGAATAGCCGTTTTGCGTTAGAAATGTGTAAGGAAGGTACAGGAAATCCTCTGATGGTGTGGACTAAGGAGTGGGGAGAAAGCAAAGCAGTCCAACCTCTAGGACTTGGACAAAGAGCAAAATGGAGAGAGACAAACTTTTACACTGGTGGGTACAGGATAGCTAACACTGAACATGTACAGTGCATAGAGTTAATATTTAACACTTACAGTGTAGAGAAATAGTTAACATTAAAATGCGCCTGTGAGGGTGGGTAGGCCTTGAGGGGTCTGGGAAAGAAGATTACTTTGGTATTTCAAAGGTCTGTTATCCTAGATTTATAAGAACAATGAATGGGACTCCTTTAAGACAAAGGTTAACCTTTTAGTAAGAAAAATATAAGCCTGGGGTGTGATTACCACTGTGGCCTGTCCAGTTAGGAATGTATAATCAGATCATTTTGTGTAGTTACTTCTGTAGCTTTTGAGCTTGTCAGGTTTCCTACACAGCTATACCTAAATTCCAGATTCAATAATTATCCAGACTTTGCCTCCATTGCTTTATCTATCCCTGTTTGCTTCCCCTCCTCCCTTCTTTTTTGTTACTTGAGTACTCTAAAGCATATCCCAGCCTTCATATCACTTCACTTCGTCTAAAAAATTTAATTATTTTCTTACATAACCATATTCCATTATTTCACCTAAAATCAATAATAAATCCTCAACATCATCTAATACCCAAACTATATTGAAATTTCCTCAATTATCTAAAAAAGGGTTTTTTCACATTGCTTTGTTTGAATCAGAATTGAAACATATTGAGTTATTATGTCTTTTTAGTGTGAAGCAGTAGTTCCGACCTTTTTTTCATGCACTGACTCAAAGAAACTGATCAATGCTCTCACATTCTGGATTTTCTACTTAAAAATAATTTTTTTTAAAAAAAAATTCTCACCTGAAGACATTCTTTTTAATTGATTTTAGAGAAAAAGGAAGGGTGAGGGAGAGAAACATCTATCGGTTGCCTCTCTTCACACCCCAACCGGAGAATAAACCTGCAACCCGGGCATGTGCCCTAATTGGGACTCAAACCTGTGACCTTTTGGTGTATGAGACAATGCTCCAACCAACTGAGTCACACTGGCCAGGATGGATTTTTTTACTCTTTTAATTCAATTTAATTTGTCTTTTTGTTATTGGGTTGTAAATATGGTTAATTTTTAAAAATATATGTTTTCATTGATTTTTTTAGATACAGGAAGGGAGAGGGAGAGAGAGATAGAAACATGGATGATGAGAGAGAATCATCAATTGGCTGCCTCTTGCACACCCTCTACTGGAGATCGAGCCCAAAACCCAGGCATGTGACCTGATCAGGAATTGAATCGTGGCCTTCTGGTTCATGGGTCAACATTCAACCACCAAACCACACTGGCCAGGCAGTAAGGTTAATTTTTTTTTTAATTTGCTATTCAGGAATCATTTCAGATTTTTAAAATGATGCAAAAATAGTATTAAGAACTCCTATACACCTTTAATCCAGATTTCTCCAATGTTAACATTTTACCACACTTGCTTTATTCATTCTATTTTGTTGAAGATAAGATGCCCTTTACCTCTAAATACTTCAGTGTATTTCCAAGAACAAAGACATTTTCTTATATAACAACAGTGTAATGGTCAAAATCAGAAAATGATGCAAGGTCACTAACTAATCTACAGATTTTATTCAAATTTCACCAATTTTTCTTCTAATGTCCTTTATCAGATTTAGGCTGTCAAATCTATTTTAATATTTCTTACCTTTCAGGCATTTGTACCTTAAAAAAAAGTTACTACCAATTGTTGTTACAGTAGTCCCCAAACTTGTTTGCACATTAGAATCACCTGGAGATCTTTTTAAAATTCCTAGAGAAAATTCTTAAGGAAAACAAAGCTGAAGGCATCACACTTTCTGAATTCAAATATATTGCCAAGCTACAGTAATTAAAACAGTATGGTACAGGCATACTGTACAAGAACACACAATAGAGAAAGGACAGTCCCTTCAATCAATGATGTTGAGAAAATTTGACAGCCACAAGCAAAAGAATAAAACTGGACTTTTATGTTACACTAAACACAAAAGTTAAGTTAAAATGGATTAAAGACTTGAACTCAACACTGGAAACCATAAAACTCCCAGAAGAAAACATAAGCAGTGAGCTCCTTGACACAGGTCCTGGTGATGGTTTTTTTTATTCTGACATTTAAAGCAAAAGCAACACAAGCAAAAATAAACAAATCGGACTACACCAAACTAAAAGCTTATGTACAGTAAAGAAAACCATCAACAAATGAAAAGGCAACCTACTGAATGGGAGAAAATACTGTATTTGCAAATCATATATCTGACAAGGGGTTAATATCCAAAATACATAAAAAACTCATACATCTCAACAGCAACAATAATAATAATAATAATTAAAAAATAAGAACAAACACAAAACAATCCGATTTAAAAATGGGTAGCCTGGCCGGCGAGGCTCAGAGGTTAAGCATCAACCTACGAAGCAAAAGGTCAAGGCACATGCCGGGGTTGCAGGCTCAATCCCCAGGGGAGTGCCTGCAAGAGGCAGCTGATCAACGATTCTCTCTCATCCTTGATGTTTCCATTTCTCTCTCCTCCCCAGTTTGTTTCAGTGGCTAGAGCATCGGCCTGGAAACCAAAGGGCCCGGGTTCGATTCCAATCGAGGGCACATATCTCTGTTGCAGGCTCGTCCCCAGCCCAGGCCCTGGGCAGGGCTTGTGCAGGAGGCAACCAATCGATGTGTTTCTCTCACACTGATGTTTCTTTCTGTCTTTCCTTCTCTCTTCCACTCTCCCTGAAAATCAATGGGGAAAAAAAAAACCTCAGGTGAGGATTAACAAACAAAAATTAAAATAAAATAAAAAATGGGCAGAAGACATTTTTCTAAAGAAGGAATACAGATGGACAAGTACAAGACCTTAATGTGAGTTTCCTGAGCCACAGGCCCGGATAGGACTTAGGTGACCATCTCTGTAAACTTCAAGTTGGGTATAAACCCAATCGCCCGCTAGGAAGAGTGCAGCATGAGTGGGTACAGAATCCCGGGGTACACAGGCCTTTAGGAAATGGGGGAGTAAGAAATCTGGCACTGGCACCAACTTGCTTAGGGCCTGATAAGGAAGAAGAGGTTTTTACATCACTTGGAGGAGCGACTGTGGTTCCCCCGAAGGTACCTCCTGTAACCCACAGGGCGGTGAGTTCCTCAGGCCCAGTAGAAACCCCAAAGTCTAACTTGGCATGGGCCTCATTTAGGGCCTCGGCTGAAAGAGGATGCGAGCCACGGTGCAAGCTGGCCTAACCACGAGGAAGTCACTTGTGCAAGGAAGTCGGGTCTGGACTTCGGAGGAGAATGCGTGCCGGCGGGGAACTGAAGGTGTAGCCGTGCCAGCCCAGAGCGGGGCTAGGATTTCCTGGGGGGCCGGGGGGGGGGCGCGATTCCCCGCCCTTTTGATTTAGCCCTTTCCCGGCGCCACCGACTCTTCCGGAGCTGCTCCTCCACCTCGGCCACCAGCGGCCAAGAAA